TTTTTTTTCAAAAAATCGACTATAACTTTTCTGGACTTTATTTTTGACAAATTCTGATGACAGATTCTGAAAGAGCAAGAAATTTTACGTCAGAAATGATGTTGCTTGAATTGTTTAAGATCATTAAACTAAAAAGTTAAGCCGTTGAAAATTATTTAAAAAAATGTGTCCGTTTGGACCCTAATGGGTTAATGTATCGTATATACATATGTATATTCATACATCTATTTATATTAACAGGAAAAATTTCTTCATTTTGTGATTATTCTCTTTTTGTTCCCTTTTTACTTCCTCTTTTTATATCAGTGCTAGAACAAAGTACACTTTTCCAACTTTGATAGTTAATGTCTATTTCTTTCTTTTGCTACTAATCACTTTAGCAACGAGTCACCGAACAATCTAAGGTATACGATTTTGTCTTAAATGGCTCACTGTTAAAAAAATAAGTAGCAAAAAAGACAATGAATATCAACTATAATCAGCTGAGAAGTGCACTGTTCTAAATTGAATTTTATCAATATCCAACATATACATTTTCAAATTCTTACAGAAGCCTTAGTAATACCAAGATAATTTTATAATATATGTTTTCCATACAGATAAAGATTATAAGTGCCATTAGTTTAAGACAGGATAACATTTTTATAACTATGGTTAAATAACAATTCCTAAAAACGATCATTACAGTTGTAACATCCATATATAGCAGCTATTCTCACGGGGCAAACATATAAGTCACTTCCAGAGTATAACCATTTTAGATGGGTGAAAAATAACATTATTTTGTTGTAGCAATCTTAACTTTTCCTCCGTCTAGTAAATTCGCATTATTTTTAACAGACATTCTGAATACACAATACCCAGAAAGAAGTAAACCCATTCCCAAATCTGTAATTATTTCTAATATCATACTATTTTTATATTAAAAAAACAATTATTATGATAACAAATCCGTAAAAATATATATATATTCTGTATGTCCGCATATTCTGTAAAATGTCTTAATAGAAAAAAATATATATATACACTGGTCCAAAAAATTAAAGGATCACCTACTCTATCCTCTAAAAATAGGTAAATTTCAAAATAGAGCAACTTCGTCAAAAATGATCGTAACGAGATTTTTAAAAAAGCATTTTACAGCTTGAAATCTCTACTTTTCAAGTTGATATTTTAGAAAACGATTAACTGACTTTCTTTGGAATTGCATTGATAATTAAAGGATCACCTGTTCTATCCTCTAAAAATAGGCAAATTTCAAGAATTTCAAGATAGAGCAACTTCGTCAAAAATAATCGTAATGAGATTTTTAAAAAACCATTTTACAGCTTGAAATTTCCACTTTTCAAGTTGATATTTTAGAAAACGATTAATTGACTTTCTTTGGAATTGTATTGATACAAATGGAGATGTGACAAATCGCAAAATTTTTTCCTAACTTTGCAAAGTTCTATAGCCCGAAATAAAAATTGCACACAAACGCGGTGTACAGTTTTTGAAAGAATGAATCTTTCTCTTTAATTTGCTTTTTTGTTGAGCGCCGTACGATTTTTTTTCACCGAGTTATTCAACGTTGAAGCAAAAATGACCTTTTTTTCTCAACAAAAAAGCAAATTAAAGAGAAAGATTCATTCTTTCAAAAACTGAACACCGCGTTTAAGCGTGCAATTTTTATTTCGGGCCATGGAACTTTGCAAAGTTAGGAAAAAATTTTGCGATTTGTCACATCTCCATTTGTATCAATGCAACTCCGAAGAAAGTCAGTTAATCGTTTTCTAAAATACCAACTTGAAAAGTGGAGATTTCAAGCTGTAAAATGCTTTTTTAAAAATCTAGTTACATTCATTTTTGACGAAGTTGCTCTATCTTGAAATTTGCCTATTTTGAGAGAATATAGAACAGGTGATCGTTTAATTTTTTGGATTAGTATAGGACTATAGATTAATAGATATTCTTTAACAATTATATAAATATGTAGACCAAAATATCCTCTTTGTTGCTAATCACAAATATGAAACAAAGCATCTCTTATTTTTCTGAAATTCTTGCAAATGCAATTACTATTATCTAAATTTCCCCACTGCACTGTTCAAATTACCCCGCTGTGCCCTACCATTTTTATTGTATAAGTAATTAATACTCTAAATTAAAATACGTATCACTTAAGCTTTATTTTTTTAAATTGTTTTTATTTTTATGAGATTCTTTTTTTATACCTATGTATACAGAGCTCATTGAACACAGCTCGACAACAAGAAGAGCGCAATGCGCATGTCAAACAAATTAGATTTCTCGGTGGATCTCACGTAGTTACTGTGACTTTTGGAAGTGCCTTTCGATTTTACTTAATGAGAAAGAAAACACAGAAGATGAGCTCCAAACTGCATGGGGTTGACCGAAGAAATCAGCTATCAATGACACACAAGAAATCAGATGTAACACCTCGGAATGAATCGGCCATTAACAATAACGTTTATCGGAATTTTCCAAGGTTAACCGTGAGAATCGAATTTTATCCTGTTATGCCCATTTCTATATCAATATAGATTAACTTTAATCTCAGGGTTTAACTTACTTTTTATCTTTTCCTAATTCTAAGAATTAAATAAAGCTAAAAAGAATAAATTAAACTTTTATTAAAATTAATATATATTGATAGAAATAAACATTAGTTACGTTTTTCACTCTCATGCCTTTTCGGTTTGAAATAAAACGAGCATGTATATGTGCTTTAGAGCAGAACGTAAAAGATTCAATTTGTTATTAAACGAAAACCTTTAAAACTTGCTAGAACACAACATTACTCGACCAGCGGTCAGGGTCAATTCCTGAATGAAGTAGAAAATGTAAAGAATGAACAGCAATCACCCTTTGCTTTTCCTTCCTGTTCCCAAACATTGGCCTATCTCCAATGGTGGAAGGCGAAGAAGAAGAAAGCGATATCCGAACGCGGCAAAAGAGTCTACAAGGATCGACATAAAATTCCGCAATCCCACAAAATTTTGCAAAGATTACACGTAAGTTATGTTAATTCTTATCTGTTACTCTGATGAGTATCATTTGTGCTGCAAAATAACATTATATAATTTAATTTATTAAATGCTCAAAGTATTTAACCATTAATGTGTAAACCTGGATAAAAAAAATCCTGATCATATCTGAACATTTTAAAAAATTTTTTATATTTAATATTTATAAAGACTTTTCTAAAAAATATCTTAATAAACCTCTTTAAAATTTATCAATTTTCTTCGAAAATTATAGAATAAGAAATTTTTAAATATTTTAGAAATCACAAATATAAATTCTAAAAAGACTTCAACTTTCTTAGCATTTCTGAAAAGTGTTCTGATTTATATAAAAAAATCGGAAAAAATTTTTTAAAAATTATAAAATTTATTAGAAATTTTGAAAAATTATGTAAAAAAAATTCTAAGAAAATTTTTCAAGGATCGTCTTTTTATCCTTAAGTTTTACAACCGCTATAGCAAAATAAAAAAGAGAATATTTCAGTGAATACATATATAATACGCATTGTTATGATTCCTTAACAACTTAATATAAGTACAGGTGGACGTTGAGATAGAAGCGGAGAAAGCAAAAAAACACAAAGCTGTGGATAAAGTGATTGCTATGACGGATGTGGATCCACAGTATTTTACAGAATTATCCGGCAGATCTGTAAAAGAAAAGTTTTCATTGGAACAATATGTTCAAGATGTACGAGAGATATTAAAAACAAAACTCCTTATTGGGCAAGAAAAAGATGATTGTATTCGCATTGATCAACAGTTTGAGCAAGAACTACGTCGATTACGACAAATTCAGGTATAAATTTTAACTCTAATTAAATTAATATTTTTACCAGAAATATTTATAGAACAATGATATTTATACAAAAATGTGACATTTATTACCGTCAAAACCCATAATCCGTTAAAATCCAATTTCACTAGTTAAAAGTTTTAACAGTTTTGCATGAAAAATCGAAAACTCACGTAGAATAGTACAATTATAAACCTCGTTTCACTCCGTAAACAGGGGGAGGGAAAGGGGGGGCTAGCTGAATTGGACCTATAGCTGCGCGTGAAAAATCGAAAACTTATGTGAAACATTATTATTATTGATCTCGTTTCGCCCCGTAAATAGGGATAGATGTGAGTTTCCATGCAACTAATTTTAAATAATAAAATCGAGTTTTAATGGATTTTGGGTTTTAATAGTAATATATATAGGAATTTATTGAAAATTTCTTGTAAAATATGAAGAATTTTAACATATAAATAAATTCGCCTTTAATGTCGGTCGATGCTGGATCTTGATACTTAATAATATTTTTATATTCTAAATTTAAAAATTTCATTTTTTTAGCTATTTAAACTACGTGCCGAACAAGATGTTTTACTTAATTAACGTAATTATCTGAAGTCTTTTCTTCATTGTTATCGATGACACAAAAAATATATAAAAAAATTATATTGTTTGGGTAAAAAAATATACACATTACAATTATTCTTTTTGTTAAAGTATACTTTTCAGCGATTTGAAGATTAATTATGTACATATATTTATTAAAATGAATTTTATTACTTCCGCAGATTTTATTAAACAGGGTTATCAAATTTAAAAAAAGAAAACGAAAAAAGATTTTTGCCATTAATTTAAAGCCGTAAAAATGGAGCTAATATAAAGTAATAGTTGTAAGTAAATTATTAAAAATTGCAAAATTTACATTTCAAGACTGTAAACGTACTTTTCTGAAACTATTATTTTTGAAAACGGTGGCCACGATAACTCGAGCACGATTTATCTGATTACTTTAAAGTGAGACTTTTGATAATATTTTGCATTGGCTGACAGAAATTTTTCTTTAAGTTATAACAAAGAAAAGCATAAATTTTTTGAGAATACGCAATTTTCATTATTTAATAGATATGTCTAGTTTAATAAAAAATAAAATTTTTGAAAATTCTTTCTATGAACTAAAAATGACAAGTGTAAAATAAAAAAATGCTTACTTTTTATGTTAAATAATTTACAGAAACTAAAATCTTGGCTATATAGACGCGCACTAATTACGATAATTATTTAAAACATTATTATTGTTCATTATTTCTTTCTGTATTTTTGTTATAATTTTAATCTTAATTTTATTTTAAAAAATATATTTTTCAACAAACTCGATTTATCTATCTCTTTAAATAAAAATTTCATATGGTGTTGAAAATTACCTATTTTTTTGTTTGTTATAATATACAACGTAATTCTTTAACACTATGTGGCAATTGACAATTTACGAAATTTTTTTTGCTTTATATGTCTCCAATTATGACTAAAGTTATTTGATATACTATATTTATATTACTTATAATTTACTTTTTTCTCTTATACCATAATATAACTATACGTACGCGTATGTATATGTACACACACACACACACACACAGTATTAATCTTACACTGTGTTATATTTTTAACCGAAATATTGCGAAAGTTAAAATAGGACATTCAGTATACATCAGTTAATGTATATGTAAATTTATTTATATTTTATATTATTATATACTTACTATTGGAGAAAGCTATAGATTGCATGTATAACTATTCCATATATTTTATAATATATACCTAATTAATACATAATAAGATATAAAATAATTTTAAAAACATATAGATTAGATATTGCATATCATTTTATTACTTTTCATAATTTTAATAACGAACATAGAGAAAGAGATTTTTCTTGAAACCTTGTAATGATAGCAAAAGAAAGTATCGCATAAATTATTTGAAAAAAATGCCAATTTCTAAAACAAGCGCGTCATTAATAGTACAATGTTTTTAATTTCTGATCGTTTGACAAAATGATAAACTTTATCTTTCTCTTCTCCTTCTACAGATTTATATAGAATTCGAATCCATTTCCAAACACAAGTTAATTAATCAAATTTGATGTATTGATGTTCCTTGTATATAATAACTTTAAAATTCTCTAAAATAATAATTTCTCTTTTATACATTTTCTTGTATCATCAATAGCAACGGAAATAATGTTTTAGTCAGCTTGACTAAAATTTCGTGTAGGTGCAAAAGCTGCCTTATTCAGCATGAGATTACTGATCCCTCGAGTGAATATATTTTGATATATAAATTCGTTCATTTTACGGTAAAATGGACGAATTTATATATCAAAATATTAACTTGTGTTCTGCAAAAAAATGTTATATAAAAATATTAACTTGTGTTCTGCAAAAGTATCGTTGTCGGCGATACGTAAGCGGCTTCGAGGAATTCCTATCGAAAGATCACGAGAAAAGTATGCGTATGCTGGAGAAAGCGGAACAGGAAGCGAAATTGACGGAAGAGATTAGCGTCCGGAGAAATGAGCTCGCGAAACAATTCGGTCAGAGCAGGCTGGACGTTTACGTCTGGGAGGAAAATTGGAGACTGGTGAAAATGTGTCAAATATTCCTTTTTCGGGTATCACCTGTCACTTGGAGGGTCAAGTACGAGTTGTTCCAACAGCCCGAGTCAGGAAGGAGCGTTGGCTTCGAAGAAACTCCATCAGGGGATCTGTTTAGCAGATACAAAACACTAGATGAGAGCGCATCCTTAGAGGCCTTGATAGGTAATGTCAAGACAGAACATTTGACGCTAAATACTTTTCAAAACTTCTTCTCTTAATAAATCATTTCGTGTTAGAACTATTCGAAGAGGATATCACTGAAGCCGGCCCGTCCGAATTGTACTTCGAGGATCCATTCGATTTGATCCGCTTCTTTCGTGCGATGGAGACTCAAAATCTAAATGCACTCATACATCTCGAATCGCTCGCCGCACCGATGGCTGACATGGCCACGACTATCACTGTGACTGAAGCGCAGATCAAACGAGAAATTAGCGAAATCACTTCAACGATCAATGACTTGGAAGTGCGTACCTTATTCAAGTTCAAGTTTGATTAATGTTCAAGTAATTTATGAATTCGGCATGCTAATGCATTTTGAATATTTTAAAAAAGGGTCTAACATTTTAGTGACATAATATTCAATATAAGAGGAATAAAAGAATGCTTAATCAACATAGACTAAATAATAAACCGTCAAAATAAAAATAATTTCTATTTTTAGTAATACAAGTTGCTCGTTTCCTTATATAGAATGCTTCCTTTTTTTATCCATCTTGATGAAAATTTTTCTTAGAACTCTGTACATAATATTTCAGCATTTTTCAGAATACCTGTATAATTTTATAATTTTTTAGAAAATTTCTTATGTCGAATTTTTATACGAATTGGAACACTTTTCAAGTATGCTGAGAAAGTCTATTTTCTTAGAAAATCATCTTTTTTAGAAGTAAAAATTCTGAAAATATTTTATAATTTTTTTATAATTTCTATTTTGATATTTCTATAATTTCTGAAAAGAAACTTATAAAATCTGAAGTTTATTTTTCAGAAATCTTCATAAATTTAAATATGAAAAATGCTTAAAAATGCTTAAAAATGTTATGAAAGATTATGAGAATATTTTTCACTAGGCCATAAATCGATTTTTCGATCTATGTTGAACCAGTATTCTCATTTGTAATTCTTTCAGTAAAATAATAAAAACGTAACAAGAGATTCAGTAATTATACTATACGTTCCTACATTAAATTTTTATATACAGAGTTTCCAGAAAGTGGCGGCAAATTCATAAAAGACTGAAAAGTTTCATAATGAAAAAATTGTTTTCGGATTTTGTTTAATTTTTTAAATAATTTAGATAAACAGGCTCACTAGAATATATCAAACATATTAAAGTAGAAGCCGTATGCGAGCCAACACGGACGGTGGTGTGTAATAATTTTTTTACAATATCCAACCACACGCAAATTGCGCGCATATTCGTCGGTCTTGAAACACAGTTCATTACATGAGGCCGGAATAAACTTGTAACAAATTAAATCAATTAACGATTCAATCTCTTTGATGCTATACGCATCTATAAGAATCCCCTTACCCCCGAATCTGTAAAGAATTTTATTGTGAAAAAAATCACCTCAGCTCTCAGCCAAGAATCGAACCCGAATCTCCACGTTTGCCGGACGGGCATCCTACCTTTAGACGACCGAGGTATGTGACGATTTTCTTCGCAATAACCGATATGTGTAAACAATTTAAAGAAAAGACGCGATAAATTGCCTACACATGTCGGTTATTGCGAAGAAAATCACATACCTTAGTGGTCTAAAGATAGAACGCCCATCCAGCAAACGTGGAGCTCCGGATTCGATTCCTGGTTGAGAGCTGAAGTGATTTTTTTCGCAATAAAATTCTTTATAGATTCAGAGAAAAGGGGATTCTTATAGCGTATAGCATCAAAAAGATTGAATCGTTAATCGATTTAATTTGTTACAAGTTATTCCGGCCTCATGTAATGAACTGTGTTTCAAGACCGACGAATATGCGGCGCGCAGTTCACGTGATTGAAAATTGTAAAGAAATTATTACACACCATCATCCGTGTTGACTCGCATACGGCCTCTACTTTAATATGACTGATTTAATTTCTTAATTGAATAAATTTTCACAATGCCTCTAACTTCATTACCATCATACAGCTATCGATAATATGTTTAATGAAAATAGATGTCTAGCGTTTTAAAAAGATGCCACGACACGAAGTACTTAACAAAAAAAGTTATTCAGTTTAACCGGATCTATCATCCTTTTATGTTTGTCACCACTTTTTAGAAATATCCTGTATATCCTGTATACCAAATATCTCAAATGAATTTCTAATGAAATACGTTTTTTTTTTAAATTCTATATATATTTTCAAGAATTACTGCATCTCTGACATTAATGATTAGTCTTATGAATCGAAGTATTCGATAGAATTCTATCGCCAAAGCAGAAAAGAGAGCGGATAACCTCGAGGAATATGCTAATTACCTTCTCCGAGATGTCTTCCGACGTCTAATTTGCTCTGAAGAGGTGCTCTATCTTCGCGTTTTCATAGAGGATACGTACGAGAGCTGCGTAGGTCCAAACGATGCGAATCTTGATAGTTTTTCGATGATGAAGTGGATCGAAAAAATCCACGAAGAGCTTAATCTCCAACTAGATAATCTGCCGCGCGAAATCGTTCGTGCTTGCGAGCGGGAAGGATTTCGTCAAGAGATGAAGATTATAAAGGAAGCGGAGGACGCCGCAAGAAAGGTAAATAATTTATATTTAAACATCTATATTTTACTCGTGAATGAGTGAACTTATATTTAATTTAGTTTAAGCCTTTCCGTCTTCAGTTTTTATTGTTAAACTCAATATCTTAAATAATGAAATCTTTAGATTTTTAATCTTAAATTTAATATCGTAAACAATTAAACTTTTATCCTTAAATTTAATATCTTAAGTAATGACTACGTTACACCGATTGTTTCATAATTATTTGCTGCAAACAATGTTTCAACCGTAACTTGTATTATTACTAGTTCGAGTTAATGCATCGACTACTGGACGCGCTGAAACGCATCATGGAACCACCTACAAAGAAGAAACGGCCACTAATTCGGCGTTCAGTACCTATCACGGCCAAGATGAGACTACCATCACGTTTGCCGAAGCCGGCGGACGAGGAAGTCCAATATCTCACCTTCTTCACCGATTACTGCAAACGCGATGATTTCATCACATATCTTTCCAAGTTTCCGAAAGATTTCGACTTGACATTCCAAAGCAAACGCGATGACATTGAGATCGAGACAACAATCAATGATGTATCTCCGAGTCGAGAACAAATGCAGGAATAGGGGAGAGGAGGGGAAGAGAAAGAGGCGGAGGAGAGAAAATGAATGTACCATCATTGAAAACGTAACGGAATCAGCACATTTATTTGAAAATTCCTCGTGCGTGTATATATCCGAAAGGATCGTATCAGTCTAACGCGCTACGCATCGTCGATTACTTAGCTAGCGCTATTAATAATATGTATACATAAATAGGCAATTTAACGATCGATTGAAGCACGAGATAAAATATTCAGAGATAATAAAACACAACAAGGGGCAAGTATAGTATACAATAGAATTTGGAACGACAGTCGATATAAAAACAACAACCATGCTTGACAGTAATCTCTTGGCTACAAGGCGCCAGTTCACGCATTCTTTCGCTATAAACCTTATAAGAAGACTGCGATATACACTCTACCTTCGAGTACCTCTTTTCCTTTACACGAGCAACTTTTTTTATAAAATATTCTACTAGAGATAATGTACACATACACACACCACACACATACACACACACACACACACGCGCGCGCGCGCGCACGCACGTACGCACGCACGCACGCACACGAAATATATACGTATACATATACATATATCCTCTAGTAGACAACAGCGATTCTACGTCAAATTAAATAGCAAATAAGTAAATTTTTAATTCTTGCTGAATCTTTTTGTACTTGTATATATATTGAATATAGCATAATATTGTGTTTTAGTGCCATTACAATGATTTTTGAGAACGTTTTAGTTAAAAAAAATATATAAATACATATATAAAACATTAAAAGGGGCAATAATTTATTGACATTAAATAATCATCAATAAATAGCAGGGCAATAGGAACTCGAAAGTTTTTCATAAAAACATGTAGCAACATTTCGATGAGTAACGTAATCCCATTAATTGCAAACATACACTCATTTATCAAATATTTTGATTAATTCTGTGAATTGAAAAAGAATGAAATAAAATTAACAAAACTGCACTGTATCAAAAATTTTGTAATAACAATCGTGCTTCTTTAACAATAAATTCTCTACAATATGTCCCATATATTCAATAAATGATAAGGATTTTACCAAAAGGTATATTACGAAATAAGAGCAGCATCCTACTCGCGTGTATAATTAAAATATATTGTTGCTGTGTTGCTTTGTATTAAAAAATATGGCAACAATTAATCTTTGCAGCAATAACATCCAATTTCGCTAAGTAATTTATGATGATTTATATTGCCACAAATTTCCCGACGTTGATCAACTTCGTTGCTCGTGTTAATGCATCTTTGCATTTGGTGCCAGCATAAAATTACAACTTTTCCGATTTATTTACAATTGTTTACTTACATTTATACGACTTTCGCATTGTCTTTTTCTTTGTCGCAATGATAGATTTTCCACAGTCGACTAGCATTGTCACACGTTTATATTTATAATCATTTTAATCATTACATTGTTGCATACAAAATAAATCTAATCCAGTATAAAATTAAATTTTATTTAGTTTTCCTTTTACAAGAAAGAAAACTCGCGATATAACTGCATTATTTTAAACTTAATCTAAATAAATTTATTTGCAAATTGTGCCAAAAACACAATTGCACAATATTCTCTTATGATAAAAGAGAATTTGTGTCTCAAACATACACTTCAAGTATATTTTTCATATCTTTTGCGTCATGAAAATATTTCATCTGACATTTTATTTAAGCAATAAATCAAAAATATTACCAATGGATAGTATATTAATTAACATTGATTTCGAAAATTTCATAACGTTAAAATCAATAATCTCAATGTTTAGCAAACAAATTTTATATGCAACAATAGGAACAGTCGTTAAAATTTCTCCGTTTCTATCTTTCCTCATGTTCATATGCAGCTCTACACCGGCATATATATACTTATATGTACACGCATACATACACATGCACATACACACTCGCGCACATCTCCGAGTAACTCCAACAGTATTTTCGCTGACAATGAGAGCAAAAGTCAGAAAGAGAGAGGTGATCGCATCCTTCGTGATCACCGTTCACTTCTTTCGAGTCAACGTGTTACGTCCTCATCGCAATTAGAAAGAGAGGACGAAGTGGAAGTTGTGGAAAGCGTCGCTAAAGGAGAGGCTGTCCGCGATCGACAATATCAGAAGACGCATGTGCAGTCTTCCGAGGCCCTGGCCTACCTGGCCCGTTTTCGATTCAGTTTGGCTAGCTTGCGCCGTTTCAAGATCAACTGATACAGCGTGTCCAAGCCCTCGTGAAGTCCTTCGCCCGTAATAGCGCACGCCGGCTGCACACGAATACAAGCGCTGCCCGGCATTCCGGCTAGTTCCAACACTCCCAAATGCTTTTCCAGTTCGCCAACTTCTTTCGCACCTGTACGGTAGAGAGTTCGTTAACAAAATGAAGCAGACCGTAATTAAACATTAAATATTTTCATTAAATTTCGTTTCAACTATTCCATAATTCAATAAACTATACATTCCAAAGTGAGATATCGATCAAAATTGCAGTGCTTTGCTGAATAAATTCACATAAAATCTTTATATCACACAAGTTGCATAAACTTTATTCGTATTCACTTTCCGCCGTAATATACAATTAAAGAATTATTCAGAACTCAAGTGGAAAGTAGAACGAGGTATCTAAAATTGCGAAACCTGCGCATTCAATTGACAATCATAAAAAAAGACTAATGGCTAAAAATACTAAAATAATGCTATATGTCGCATTTATTTATTTATATCTTAAAAATTTCTCATTTCAGTCTGCTTTACACGCAAAATGTCACAATAATAACAACATGTATGACAGATCTTCACATATTTTTTCTACCTTCGAGATTTTCTTTTAGAGACTTTTAACGTCTTCTTGTGAGTTACAAATTATTTTTCCGTCGATAGCAAAAAATACTTTAAAAAAATGTATTTTTTCACATTTTTATATTATATAACTTCTTTTTTGCAGTGTGTAGTACTTTAGAAAATTTGAGAAAAACACGACGTTCGTGACGATGCGGAAATGACAAGCGCAACGCGCGCGCTATGGTTCATTTAAACCAACTGCTACGAACATAATCAAATTTGCACACAAAAACAACAAGTGTGTCTGCTGCGTCATATTACAAAAAGGTTTGAAAAAGGAACATGTTAAATAAATATGAAACTGCCAATAAAAGGAAGATATAATTAGAAAACACAAGAATAGTATTTTCTGATTAAAAAGACGGTTCAGTGATTTTGAGATATAATTTATAAGTATATCGATTTTACCAGGCAAATCTTGCTTATTGGCGAGAATTAGAATCGGCACACCCGCATTGTCCGGACTCCTCGCCGTCCTGGTAAGCTCCATTTTTGCCTCCTCGAGCCGCTCAGTATCGCAGGAATCAACGACGAAAATAATGCCGTCGGTGCATCTCGTATAAGATTTCCACAGCGGCCGTAGCTTTTCTTGCCCGCCGACGTCCCATACAAGAAAATTAACACCTGTGATCAAAAAACATACCACGTTCCAATGAGGACAGAATCATAATGATATAACGCGGGCGTCCGCGACTCATTGCATTTATAATCGAACCTTCATAAACTTTATAGTTACTGGGACCCGAGCGACTTCCCAATTCTTGATAAGCATTCTTCAATCTCTGCTCAATCTCAATAGTGACGCACATGCATAGAATTAGAACAATGTGTAGAAGAATTAAAAAAGTGTAAAAAATATGTAGAAAAATTAAATAGTAGGAGAACAGCAATAAGAGAAACCCAGTTTACGGAAGCACAACTGGTGATAGACAGGAAAACAGTCAAGAAAAAGGATAAAAAAGAATGCGAAAAAAATTTGACAGTATCAAACTTTGTAATACAGAATATTTTAAGAGCAAATGTTCTTTTAATTTTTTGACATAAGTGGAATCTTTATTTGTTGTCGAATATATCGAGAAAGACCATTGTTTATTGTAACTTTTTTATTTCTTACGTCATGGGGAGAGTTGCCAAATGCGTACCGGTCTCATAAAGCGTATCTCTTCAATATTTTATAGTTCCACTTAATAGAAACAACATTTAGTAATAAAAATATGAAGTAAATATAAGAAATGTGTAAGATAAACAAAAAATGAACAGGTTACATCTTGTTTTGTGCATGTTATCAACATTTTAAAAAATCAGATACAATTGTAAATTTTTGATCAATTTATATAGCTGATACTAATGTAACCATGCAATTTTTAATTAAATCGTTATTTTTCCTAAAAGAAAGTTTATGATAGCATATTTTACATTCATTGTATATACATATTTACAATTATTATAAAAATTATATTAATATTTTTATCACCTCTGTCAAGTTTCCTAAATCGTACCTAACCTAACCTAACCAGCATAAGAGTTCTTATATCGTATCGGTACAATTTAGGAACACTAATGTATCTTTATCTTTAGATCACATGACATAATTAACATTATGTTTATTTTAATACGATCGAAGTTGTTCGGTAGCAAGTCTGTAGAGAAAAAAACCGTCATCGAGTTGTGTAAGCAAAACAGCTATATTTTTTGATAAATTACAATTAAAGTAGATATATTAATTCATGATTCTTTTATCAATCTTGTGTTTTTAATTATTTTCATTCATAAATTTAATAGTTTAGAAGGAGGTACTATTAATATGTGGAGACGAACAGACCGCCACATGACCAAATTAATTTGCTATTAGTAAAAGATTTAACATGTAATATCAGATGCCTTGAACATCAAGCTACAATTTCCAACGTTTGTTTGCATTCTAAATAGTACCAAATGTGAAATATAACCAAAAATATGTTAAGTGGTACGCATTCGGCAACACTCCCCTATATTAACGGTTATTAACGAAATAAAATTATTGAGGGTATAATAGTGTATCATTCATTGCTGAAGAAAATCTGAAGAAAGCCGAAACGCAAAAGAAAATTTTGTATGGAAATGTAGCCAACATTTAATATATTTTTAATAAAAATTTTGTACGTACTAAATTCTGCACGTTAGACTTTTATTGCCTGTTTTATAATTCCAAGGGTTACTTAATCAGCACACAATATTTTTTAAATGTTTTTTTTTCATTTCCTAAACTTATTTTGGAAAAAATATTTATTTAACATTT